TGAAATATTATTAATAAAAGATTAATGATATAGAAAATTAGTGTAGGAGGGCGATACCGGTTTCAGCTATGTATCATTGTTTTTGTTTGAGATAGCCAACTAATTGAAGTGTATGAGATGATAACTTGATATGTTGTATACCATATGATGACATATGATGACAGATAATTGTTATAGTTTGATATTCATAGATTATTTTAATAATAGATTAATATTTTTTGATTATTTTTAAAATAAATAAATAATATGTTAACTTCAAATTTATATTTGAGAGGATAGAGTCATATATATTTTATCAATTAATTTATAAAAATAATATAAAATCTAAAATTATCAAATATATATATAATATAAAATTATCATTCTTATATAAAGAGTGCTCTTTTTATTTGCCTTCTCAACCATTTCGTTGTTTGCCACCTGTTACGGGTGTCGTGGAATATATATATATATATATATATATATGTTAGACTGGAGTAGGTGACCTAGTCGCCTTCCCTCTCTTCTCTCTTAGCAATCTAATCTGACAGTTTCCGTGGCCATCATACATTGAGTGTGATGTATACACGCGTTTCCGTGATGCAAGCGGTAAAATAATAATAATAATAATAATAATAATAATAATAATAATAATAATAATATCAGTCCAACAAGTACACATTTTTGTAATGACTTCACTAAATCATACACCCACAATAAAAGAAATCACCGAAACGTCTAACTCCTAAGAAGAGCTGCTCGTTTGGGAATCGACACTTTGGGCTTCCCTTTCATGAGAGTTCCAGTGATTGGAAACTTGATCGACGACGATTTTCTTGAACACGGAGGTGCAATCGGCGAAGGAATGATGAAGCCTGCATCGCTTGCATCAGCCTTCACGAGACGGAAGTAACTCCACGGCGACACCGGGGCCATGCACGGGCTGCCTCCTCCTCCTCCTCCTCCGCCGGAGTCACGGACAGGAAGCTCCTCCTGCAGCAGCCGCCGCCGGAAGTTTTCGATGAAGCTCTGCGCCCTCTCGTCGACGTCGGGCGACCGTAATCCGCGGGCGCTCGGCGTCGAGCGCGCGCTGGCGAAGCTCGTGCATTGGCTAAGCAGGCTCCGCTGCCGCTCCAAGCTCAGACGCCGCCGGCAGCCCGGACTGGGACTACTCCCGGGGTCGCGTACATACCACACAACCCACGCCATGTGTTTCAGCCTCAGTAGAAGCCGCAGGGCGTTCGCCATCTTCCTGAGGCGAGCGAGCATGGAGGCATCAGAACCCATGAAGACAGCTCAGAATAGCTCGATGCAAATGCTTCGTCCAATCTCAATGGCAACAGATGGAATCTGCAGACACTTATATATGCATCATAATGTCCTCAAGTCAGAAGCTTCATCCAATCCCATGCAGCTGATGATCTCATCTGAAGCATGCATGTCACTTCTTTGCTCTTCCTGTGAGCTTCCTCAGGACAAATCCATTGGTTGACTCAGTCAATCCAAACATGTGGTTCATGTATCAAGATTTCAACATTGCATGGAAACCATGGTCAAGAATAGCACTACTTTGAACATTGATTTCTACATGAGTAGGTCTAATGAATAGTTAGCCCATATCTTGTCCTGTATGATGAATCCCAATGCTGTGCCACTCATAAGAGCAGCATGTTCATGCATTTGTTGACCTGTGAGTGCTGGACTGACTTATAGCCTATCCATACTCCTGCCTTCAGTATGTATCTAACGGATCCATACTTTCTTTCATGATTGATTAGAACATCAAACGGATCGATCTTTGTGTAGATCATCATCATCTCCTGGGCTCTATCTATGCTTATTGCACATGCGGACTTGAACCGAGTCATCAGGGTCGATCATTGCTGTGGATCAAACTATCCACAACAACGAGAACTTGAGGTGGCCTAATACTACTAGTCATGGCCATGCATGGCTTACATAAAAGGTTCGTCTCCACCATCCGATGAATGTCATCATGTGCCATACTTACTGACACGCCTTCTTCCTCCTTTTATAGCTTTCATCCTCTCTGATCTCCAGCCATCCCCACTTCTCCCTTGTGATATATACTTCCATGGAGTTTGAGAAGAAGAAGGACGATGGTGTGAGTCTGGAACTCGGGTTGAAGCCGTCGATGCCGGCGGAGCCAGCGCGGGTCTTCGCATGCACCTACTGTCGCCGGAGGTTCGTCAGTTCGCAGGCGTTGGGCGGCCACCAGAACGCACATAAGCTGGAGAGAAGCCTGGCGAAGCGTGGGAGTTTGGCGGCTTGGCATCGCCATGTGCTCGGTATGAGCAGCAGCTTCCAGTGCCATGAAGGTCCGAAGAGAAGAGAGATAGATGATGTCGTCGATGAGATCGACTTGTCGCTGAAGCTGTGAGAGCAACCACTCGTTCCTTAGACTACTATCAGAACTTGATCTCTTGATATAACATTCGCAAGTCATAAAATAGTACTGTCATTAGCTTAATCAGCTGCTGGTATTATATTTGATGTGTTGCAATTTGCATATCTGAAAGTAAATCATAGTTTCTGTGGTTTTCTTCTCTTAAATGATATTTTAGTGTAATTGGAAGTGTACATTAAATTAGTGTAGCAGATCTACTGCAAACCAGTCGTGAAGAACAGAAAAGGAAAAGCTTCCTATATATTCAACTCAATGATCAATGAGTCAACTCTCTCTCTCTCTCTCTCTCTGAAGGATGAGTTAGTGCTACTCCTTTGCTCTTATTCTGGGAGACATTTCATCTTTCATCTCTAGTTTAGGTCAGGAAGGTTGCCAAAGGGAAGAGACACTTGACATGCAATTCCTTGAAGTCATTCACACACAGAGGAAGTTCTCTGGAGAACTACAAGAATTATTAATGCATGCTGACTTCTATGTCTACCAGATTGACCATTTCACCACAATCTTGGATGACATAAACTGGGTTTCTTCTCCCTTTGATTTTATCTTTACTGCCAACAAGTGGTAAGAGTGCAATGAGGCATATATTGATTGATATTTGCAATATATGTATTTTCTTCGATGAACTCAGAACACTAATTTGCATAAACCATGGATTATCCAAAAATAATGATCCAAAAAGTTGCATGCTAAAACATAAAAGTAAGTATCAATTGCTTGACCTGCTGGTTCAGTGTGTTCTTCAGGTATCCATTGGCACGGCACTCAGCAAAACCTAATCACCCTTTTCCACTCTTTCATCATTGCACCCGAACATGGTGGTATCTGAGAACAGCACATCAACGTGGTGCTTTCTCCCCCGGTGGAAAACGCCACTACGTCTTCATGCTTCACAACTGCATCGACGACCTGTGAATGCTTCCTGCGCTGTCTCTTCCCGTAGAATCTAAGACACCATATCTAATCATGTTCGACCATTGCCCGGAAAACGACAACCCACCACAGTCTTTGGACTCGATCCACCCTTCTCTCCGGACATGCAACACCGGAGATCGTCTACGTGATCCATGCCAAGGGAGGTCCTCGCTGAGGCCCCAGGGATCCTCCAGTCACCTGGTGAAACGTGCCACGGAAGCTGGAAGACAAGTTTGGCATGGATATGATGGCTGCAAGATGAACATCAAATCATATAATTGATTGCCCGAGGAACAATGGCATCAAGAGTTCTTGACCACGAAGGAAGGTTAAGCGAGGCCAGACAAAATTGCAGTTGTCTTCGGATCAAGTTTCTCCATGAACAGGCTTTTCAGATCAATTCAAGTTACGAGATTCGCTCTTCAGCTTGCAGATAAGCCGATGAAGCATCATTCATCGACTATCACGTGAGAGCAGCAGCACGTCCATCACAAACCAATGTTTGAATTTACTATCTCAACAACTTCTAGCTCGAGATTTGAATCATGCTCTTCGTGAACTCAAGTTATGAACTCATCTCATGCATTTTTTACTTTTAATAGATTTACAAGGGATCAACAACTTAATCAATTGAGAGAGTCTCTTTGGATTCTCATTGTTTATCCTAATTCAATCAATCAAGTGTCTATAATATTAAAGAACATTAAGGGGATCATGTTAACTAAGGGTGGAGAGAGTTGGACGAGAAGCCTTTTTGGTGAGGCTTCCATCTCAAAACCTACTTGATTGGCTATCAAAGATGAGGCTTGTTATGCATCATTAGCAGAGAGAAAGAGTGGAAGGAGAATGCATTGTGCTTCAGTTGGGAAAGATTAACTTCAATATCATATATATATATATATATATTATTCATCAATCGAATATGAGTAGAGTCGATCAACGAGTCAAAAACCTGCAGCCAAAAAGATGAGCCAGATCGTCATCACGGGTTGGCGCAGTACATGAGATGGCTGTCAGAGCCCCACCGCACTCCACTTGTCGTCAAAGACAAGTCAACATGTCAGCCCACTTGTCCTAAGCGACGCGATTGCCATGTCCAAGTATCATCTTACATGACGCAAGCACTGATCCAACGTCTCATCATCTCTAAGTCCCGTGCGACACGACCGTCGCCACACCAAACCCACCCGCTCTCACTCGTACGACAAATCGTACCCCGATTCAGATTTTCTTTAATATGTCACGCGTCATCGTTCGCGTCATGTAATATTTATACTTTCCAGCATGTCAGTGGGCCCCACATAATGCTCGCCAGTCATCTTACGGGTTGATGTCTGGGCCGCGTCGGAGGGAATTCGACTCCGGGTTCCATGCGGGCCCCGTGTCGTTCCGCACTTGGGGTGGGGTGGTGGGGTTTGCGGCTTGCCCGTCTCTTTCCGTGGAGGGTAAAGAAGTGGGTGGGATGGGAAGTCTGAGTGGAATGGAAGGTTATTGGAAGGACCATTACAACCTTATAATATATATATTTATTTGAAATTGACGTATGATTAAGATGAAAAGACACAAAATTCTAAATGGTTTATCGCTTTTGTTATATGGTGTTTCCTGACTTGGCCGAGACAGGTGAGCCGCATCTTCCCCAATATAAAAGGCTACCACCATTCCGCACTCGGTCAAAAGGAGAGAAGACCATGGCCTCGGTCGCGGCGAAACCCCTCCACCTCCCCGCCGCCACTACCGCTGAGCTCTCCTCCCTCGCCCCCTACTCCACTGCGGCATCCGTGTCCTTCTCCTCGGCACGCTCGCAGTCCTCCTTCCTCGGCTTGCGGCTCGCCCTGCCCCTCAAGACCCCCTGTTTCCGCAAGCGGACGGAAGGGCGGGGCCTCCGGATCGAGGCGGCGGCCGCGGCACGGCCGACGGTGCTGGTGGCGGAGAAGCTTGGGGACGCTGGGTTGGAGCTGCTGCGGGGGTTCGCCAACGTGGACTGCTCCTACAACCTCGCGCCGGAGGAGCTCTGCGCCAAGATCTCGCTCTGCGACGCCCTGATCGTGCGCAGCGGGACGAAGGTGACGCGGGAGGTGTTCGAGGCTGCCAAGGGGCGGCTCAAGGTGGTGGGAAGGGCCGGGGTCGGAATCGATAATGTGGACCTGCAGGCCGCTACCGAGCACGGGTGTCTCGTTGTTAATGCGCCCACCGCCAACACCGTCGCGGCAGCGGAGCATGGGATCGCACTGCTCGCCTCCATGGCGAGGAACGTCGCCCAGGCGGATGCCTCCATGAAGGCCGGTGAGCTCCTATTTCTCTCTCCCTTTCTTCCTCGTCGTATTCGTTTGATGTGATGCTCGCGGTTTGGCTCCGATGGACAAGTGAAGAGAAGAGGATGATGAGACAGATCTACATAGATCCGTCTTCTATTCTTAGACTGGTTGAATCACCCCAAGGTTTCAATCTTGCCATCACTAGCTTTACTGGGATGAAATCCCAAAGTGTTTCTGTTGACAGAGCTGGTAAATTAGGGTCTATGGTTATATACTAAGATCCTTTTCCTTTCTTCAAATGAAACGAACAGGTGGGTTAGAGCAGGAGATGCTTTGTCGATTCAAACAGAGTTTTCTCACGAATTAATTATGCATTATCACACCTTTAAGATTCTGATTTTATCATGATAGATGGCATATTTCTTCTTGAGGAATTGATCTATTGATTCATATGAACATTGCCAGATCAGTTGCCTCTTTTTTGTTTTTGCTTGCTATTCTATTCAAGCATGTCAAAATATAATTCACAGAAAAATCTCTTCTTCAGATGGTAGTTTTAGGAGAATACTTTTCCCTTTCCGTTTATTGTAATCCATGTCATAATTGGTTGAGTACTTTGATATCTTGAGTTAATCTTGAGCTTTTGTGGACATTTTTATTAAATATTCTACTACTCTGACATTTGCATTGTCTTATATCTTTTTGAATTTATATCTCTGGAATCGATAGCTCTATTTAAGTATTTATGAAATATATTGAAACTTACCAAACAATTTACTCCAGCCTGCATATTACAAAAATTCTGACAAGATGAAAAAGAGTTTCTGGCCAGATGTAAGAGGGCGGAGAACCACAACATGTCAAACAAATAAGAATTAAATAGTGAAATATAGCAGAAAAGAGAAAGACAAACATTTTCATATATTATTGTGAAGTGGCCCATCTTTGAGTAATTCACATGTTTTGAAGTTTTAGAAAAATGAAAATATCATGAATGTCCGCCTAAGTGTTATTGTGTGTGTCAGACACTTGTTCATGTTTTTTCTTTTACATACTTCTGCATCGTATTCAATGGTGCAGCCCATGTAGGTTTGGATAAATATTTGATGCTCATGAGGTTTTTTCTCTAATTTTGTACTATTATTAGCTCAGAGCATGTCTAGAACTTCTTCATAAGCATGTGGTATTTTCTTTTCGAATGACTTGACAATCTTATCAATTTTTTATTATGATGATCTGTTTTGGCATGTTATGATAAAACAAATCCAGAGTGCTAAGAGAGTAACAAGCTGATGAGATTGTGATATTCAGGAAAATGGCAACGCAACAAGTATGTAGGTGTCTCCCTGGTTGGAAAGACACTGGCTGTGATGGGATTTGGCAAAGTTGGTTCAGAAGTTGCTAGACGTGCGAAAGGACTAGGAATGCATGTCATCGCTCATGATCCTTATGCTCCTGCTGATAGAGCCCGTGCCATTGGTGTAGAACTTGTGTCATTTGATGAAGCCATTTCTGCTGCAGATTTTATATCACTCCACATGCCACTGACTCCTAGCACTGCTAAGCTTTTCAATGATGAAACATTTGCAAAAGTGAAAAAAGGAGTTAGGATCATTAACGTTGCAAGGGGTGGAGTTATTGATGAAGATGCTTTGGTCAGAGCACTCGATGATGGAACAGTTGCTCAGGTAGTCTCTCGACACAAATATTCAAAATTGTTCTAGCTGCCAATTTTATAAAATTGTGTATGTCATCTGTCTTGTTTCATCTTGGTCTACTATTTGATCATATGACCTGATTTTTGGGCTCAGATTTAAAATCTGGGAACAAATATCTAAACATTTTATAATCAAATCCGTGAGATAGTAGACGGTTATCCAATGCTCATTTAAATCCATGATCGTTTTACTATGTTCCAATTGCTGCTTGAGAGAGGAAGTATTGTGGAACTGTTTTTCTCTTAATATCACAGCTCTTCGCTCCAATCAATTTTCTTTTATGATCTGAAACAGGCAGCACTTGATGTGTTTACCGTGGAGCCCCCACCAAAAGACAGCAAGTTGGTGATGCATGAGAAAGTAACTGTAACTCCACACCTTGGAGCTAGCACTGTGGAGGCTCAGGTATGTCTTCTCCAGAGCATTGTCTTTAGACCCTCCACGGGGCATTTACTGAAATATTTATCATAACATTATCAGGAAGGTGTAGCCATTGAAATAGCAGAGGCTGTGATCGGAGCACTGAAAGGTGAACTTGCTGCTACCGCTGTGAACGCCCCCATGGTTCCTGCTGAGGTGAGTATTTCTAAAAGACGGACACTCCGATCGAAACTCATTTCATGTTCCTACTTATCATGACTCTACTCTTTTCATGCCAGGTTCTCTCTGAGCTTGCCCCTTATGTTATCCTTGCGGAGAAACTAGGAAGGCTGGCTGTCCAACTAGTAGCTGGTGGAAGTGGAATCAAGGGGGTCAAGGTTGTGTATAAATCTGCTAGAGATCCTGATGACTTGGACACAAGAATTCTTCGTGCCATGATCACAAAAGGAATAATAGAGCCGATATCCAGTGTATTTGTCAACATTGTTAATGCAGATTATACCGCCAAGCAAAGAGGACTTCGCATTAGCGAGGAGAGGATTTTTCACGACGACACTCCTGAGATCCCTCTGGATTCCATCCAGGTTCAACTGTCCAATGTGGAGTCAAAATTTGCCAGTGCGTTGTCTGATGCCGGTGATATACGAGTGGAGGGGAGAGTGAAGGATGGCATCCCACATCTCACCCTTGTGGGGTCTTTCAGTGTGGATGTGAGTCTTGAAGGGAACCTGATACTCTGCAGGCAGGTTGATCAGCCTGGCATGATTGGGCATGTGGGTAGAATACTTGGAAATCAGAATGTGAACATCAACTTCATGAGTGTAGGTAGAACTGCACCAAGGAAGCATGCCATAATGGCCATCGGTGTCGATGAGGAGCCCGACAAGGAAACGCTCAAGGAGATCGGTGAGATACCAGCCATCGAAGAGTTTGTGTTCCTTGGATTATAGCCTGAGTGCCTCCATTGTCACATCTTTAAGAGGCACAACAATGTCTAAGACAGTATCAGCTTCTTGGTACTGTGAAACCTTGTATCGATCTCAAGAAACTAGGTCCTGTGGGAGAGAGTAGAGTATTAAGGCTTTTTGCTGTTGTTGGTGATGCTGCTGTGGTAGATCTGTTGATCTTGTTGTTGTGTTCAAAATAATTTGGACAATTGCTGTGGTGTGCAATCAGATTGCTAAGTTTGATAACCCATTCTGCAATGCTGAATCTTTTTTTCTTTATAATGATATAAATATATATATGTATATAGATGTATATATATATGTGTATATATATGTATGTATATATATATGTATATGTATATGTATGTATATATGTGTATATATATATGTGTGTATGTATATATATATGTGTATGTATGTATGTATATGTATATATGTATATGTATGTTTGTATATATATATATATGTACATATTTATATATGTATATATATATATATTTATGTATATATATATATATATATATATTATTATT